TGCATGCATGTATGTATGTACGTAGGTATGTCTGTATGCATGCATGTATATACACGCATATTTGTATGTTTTTGTAGTTGTATGTAGACATTATATATATATATATATTTATATATATATATATAGATATATATAATGTACATGTTCACCCTTATGCATTTTCAGATACATATACACTTATGACATATACATTCACATCCACATCCTCAACATCCTCATCATCATCACCATCGTCATCGTTATCATCCTGAGAGAACTCACGAAATTAACCTCTGGGAATGAAGGTTTCGGCTTGATGGTTTCAGAGGGTTTTTGTTATGCTCACTGTCTGCAAAGACTGCATGGGCCTGAGTAACTAGATTGTTAATACGGCGAGTACATTTGTAATTACTTAGGACCCCTAGTAAGGGACTAACTTCTCTGTGCTGCGTTGCTGGTCTTTCTTTCTTTACTGCTTCGTTCGTTTCTGTTCGTTCTTTCTTTCTTCATACCTTCCTGTCTTGCTTTCTTTGTCTCTCTGAGTTCTTTCTCTCTGCGCTGAATTACGGTCTCTTTCCGCCGTTCGTCCTGTCTTGTTTCCTATATGTCTTTGTTTATGTTGTCTTTCTTTCGATGTGTTATCTTTGCTTGTTTTAAATGCTTATTCCGTTGTTGTTGGTCTTTTGTTCTGTGATTCCTAGGTTATCTATTTAATTCGTTCTGTCTTTCTTTGTCTGAATTGCTGTCCTTATTTCTGTGATTCTGTTTGTTGCTATATATTTATTTCTTTCTTGATTTCTTTCTTTGCTTTTTTCGTTATTTGTGTCTTTCCGTCCTCCTTTCTAGATTTTGTTTGGTGTGGTTTTTTGGATCCCCGGGACAGGTGTCTATGCTTTGTGTTGTTCCATTGTCCTTTGCCTTGTAGTCTGCTTATAACATAGGAGAAGATTTGTTGTTGATCCCTTGGAAAGTATTTTTTGACCCCTTAAAAAGTTTTTGTACCCATATCCCGGAACGAGGCATGACAACGCGCCGGCTACACGTAGTTCAACATGGCCTTCATCAAGTGCTTGTTCGAGCTACAAACACTGCTTCGCGTTGGCACACGAAGCCCAGCACTTCCCGGACTTGTTCTCTGCCAACTTATTGTTTCTGACAACTTGTTTTTTACTGGAGGTGGTCTGCTATCCAAGCAGATATTTCCAGAGAAGCACTCGCTCAACATCCAAACCTCTTAGCCTTTGGAGAGCCACGCCTAGCAACAAAACATGTGTTTGTGGAGTTTGTCGTGGTCTGTGTTTCACCATAACAGTGCTAGCAGGGTGTATTCAAGCCCCTGGCTTGGTTCGTGTGCTGAGTGCATACTCTAGCCTGCAGGAAAGTGGTAATGCGCGAGCTGTTTAGCCATTCAAAGCCATGATTCTGACAGCACAAATCATTCTATGATCTGCTGCAACAACTGAATAATCACGAAACGTGCTCAAGGTGCGGTCGTCATAGTCTTGAGACTCGTCCAGGATGTAGTCCTGCAGCGTTGCGATGGTGTGCCATCTCTAAACACGACTCTTACTATGTGTCACGGGAGGAGCCAAGATTCGGAGAAACTAGAGGGAATCACAAGAAACACACAGGCCAGACATGCGTGACCGTGGCAAAGGCCAAATGTCTGGAAGCATCACAACCTCTGCTTGCTGCTGCTGCTGCTGCTGCCGCGGCTTTCTCTACTGCTACTTCCACCACCAACCCCCCCCCCCTCCCCCATCAAAAACGGCAAACACTCCTAAACCCTTCTAGTCAAGCCCACTGAGACGCAATCGAGCCCCCCCCCTCGAAAACCATCAGATCCTCCGAAGCCTTTCTAGTTAAGGTATCTTGCTTTCTTCATGTACCATTATGCAGTAGGCTACTTACAGGGGTTTGAGGTTGGGGGGGTGAGGGTTTTGGCTGTTTAGGAGGGTGGGGATTGCGGAGGCGCCTCGGAAATCACGTCTCAGGCTTCTTCTCCCGATCCTCTACTTA